GAGTTAACCTCCATTTCATTAGACACGTGGATATTTGTTCTTGAAGATGCAACAGAAATTTTACTTGTAGTTGGCATTTCATTAATAAATTCGGCGGTATCAGTTGTCGCTCTATAATTAATTTAAATAAAACTGATAATTTATTTTTGTTGAATATTAAGATGTTATATAATAAAACGTTATCGAACTGTGTATAATCCAAAAACCACACGCACAAACTCTTAAAAACCAAAAATTAATTATCCGAGCCTTCATTTTTTATTTAAAACTTCGCCAGGAATAATATTTATGAATAAAATACAAAAACGGCACTTGAAAGAGAAAATCAGCAATTTGGGCGACTGGTGTTTGGTTTGCAAACAAAATTAAAATATAAATATTTATTTGTATAATAAGTAACAAACTATGTTATGATTATGATGTTTATGTTTATTGTTTACAGTTTAATGTTTTAAGAAAGATGAATAGAAACAGAAAGAAAGATTGACCAACCTAAAAAACTGATTTAATCGAGAACATTTAGCGGCGGCTTGATTAATTAACTCTTCTTTTCGTTTTCTATTTCTCTCTTCAGTCGGCATTATTAGAATATTGGATAATTACAGAAATGTGTAATGTGTTAAGTGATTTAATAAAGATCAGTAAACAGTTTCCATGGAACGGTTCAAAAGCAGAACAGATAACAAAATAGCGATGTGCTAAAAGTTCTATTATAAAAGAGTATTAAAATATCTAGATCGGATCGGTAAAAATTAATGCACACATTTTATGCACATGTTTTGTTTTATAGTATTCAAAATATTTCGCGCAATTGCAATATCAAACTCTATGTAAATCGATGTTTTGGGGCAATAGGGGCATATTGAAATGTTGTTATTTTGCGGTGGGGGGGCCGGTGCAAGGGCATGGGGTGGCCCGGCCACCCCAGGCCCCCCCGGTGGATCCGCCCCTGGTTAGAGACGGAATTTCTTGAAAGGCCAAAGTCGGATATTTTTCATGTGATTTCGACACCCTGATTAACCGTCATACTGTCCACGTGTTTTTCTTTTAAGACCTCAACGTATAAGCGGGCAACAACGCGTAATTTTTACAAACTTCAATATTAAAAAATTGTAAAAAAACATCGTAAAAATATATGTTTAGGCAACGCTTTTGGCAACGGCTTAATAAATGATCTAAAAAACAAACAGGAGCTTTGACCCAACATTATTTTTCAAATGTGCAACCAAATCTATTATTAAAAACGCTCTGCTGAATGGAGAAAGCCACTGCTTAGTAAAAAACGCTGTCGGTCGACTGCTGCAATCTGCAGCAACATGTTTCAAAATATGTCTGAAAATTTTCGACGTAATAAATACAAAATCTACACGACCAATTTTATCTTACTAAATCAGATTAAATAACAAAACATGATTGAAAAACATAGTAGCCATCTTATTGTATTATAATGACATTTAATCTAATGAATATCTACGTTGAACAAATTGAACCTACCCAGCAATTTGTAAAATCTTCTACTCTTCAAGTGTTTAATATAACAGAGCACTGTAAGCAATTATACCAGTATAAATATTATCATACCGGATGGTTTAATACAAAAATTGTAAGATGTGAACATCGACAAAAAGATGAACGAAAATTGTATGAAAATAAAATTGAAGAATCACTTTAAAATGGCATCAAAACGTGTCAATTCGAATTAACATTTAGATTACTATTAAGACATTTTAAAAACATTTCTGAAAAACATAAAGACCGATCAAAAAATCATTTGGTCAGTAAACAAGATTACGGAACAGGCTATATATGAAACGACTTGAATGTCATTTAATCATTCAAAAAACAGGAAGAAAGTTAAACAAAACAAAGGAAGGAGCATTGTATTAATTAATTAATGGCTTTGGGCATGATTATTCAATAATAATCAGATCGTGACGAATTATAAGGCAAATTTAGGAGCATACTGAAAACTCAAAATGTTAATAACTAAACAATCATAAAGCAGCATTTTTAAAAGAACAGTACGTACTAGAGCCCCAAGCAGATAAGATTTTTCCAAACCGCAATATATATATAAATATATATATTGGACTGTCAGAAATGCAATTATTGATGAAAATCACAGCATGTTCGGTGTTAGTTAGTTAACTTCCTGTTTAACTTTTCGATTTTTTTAACGGTTGATCGTGAATCATTCTCAAGTTTCTTGAAGTCAAAACCAAAATTTTTGTTTATTTTATGCATGATAGAACAAAAAAGCTTTTTCAGTATTCTTATACCGTCTTCGGTGTTCAAATTGAAACGTTGTGTATGTGACCAGATGCTCAAATATATATATATACTGTGTCTCTTACTTTGTTGATTTCTTGTTCGTACAAAGATAGATACACTTCACACATACGTTTTGTATAGCACACATTTACACACACATGTATGTATGTATGTATGTATGCATGGACGTGTATACATTGAAGTAACTTTCTTTATCCAAATCTGCTGAAGTAATTTGTATAAGCTGCTTGCTTGGTTTTATCAACGTGTACCCCAGAGAGACTCAGCTATGATCATTTAATATACATACATACTCACACATGTACATTTATGCAAACAAACGAATAAACAAAATTTTTTATTCTGAAAATTTTTGAAAATTAAAAATTTAATTTAGCGAGCGGTTTTTGAAAAACGCGCTTGAATCCACATTCGCGGCAAACCGCACAGACGAAATTCGCAAACCGCAACATCCGCGGAGTTTTGAGAATATTTTAATTGAAACCGCATTGCGGATATCCGCTTGGGGCTCTAGTAGGTACCTCTTACTACCATTAAATCATAGTCTTCATAAATTTGCGTAGATAAATTGTAGCCGGCGGGTTATTAAACTGTCTAACGCGCGTTAAAAATGTAAATAAAAAGTATTGTACAAATATATTTAAGGCATTAAAAATAACAAATGTAAAATATCAATTATTATTTTAACGAATCAAACAACATTCCAGGACATACATTTCTAAGACGTTAAGTTCCCAAAGTTTCCACGAATAATTAAAATTACTGCACGACAATCTTGAAGGGACTTCCAGGAATATGTTGTTCTCCCCACTTGACCACAAGAACGTACTCCCCTCTCTCTCCTGGCCGATAGATGACCGTGTACTGACCATCCCCTGAATATCTGATGGACACTTCTTCGCAAGGGAGTTCGGGACCCATCACTCCGACCAGCAACATGTTGTGGCCTGCCGGGTTAACCACTACACAAATTATTCCAAACGAAATATTAATTCATTTTTTAATACAACGTTCGTCACGTGAATGTTTTAAAGTTTACGATCTCAAAAAATAACTAACTTCAATAATATTTAAAAATCAACGGAGACAACTGGAAATGAATGAATATAAAAAACGTGATAATCAAAATTTGTAATGAAATCATTCGGAGACCTGCTCTCGAAGCATCAACAGTAAACGTGGCTTCCTTGTTTGCTGAAGCTTTCTGAAGTCCCATTCCTTTTGAATTGACCTTGCTTGCATCAGAATCGAAACGAGAATCTTGTGCAGAATACATCTGAGTCGTTGTTGACTTGGTAACAGTTTCCACAACAACTTTTGTTTGTTCGTTCCAAGTCCCCGGCCTTCCTGAGCCTGAAATTCAGACATGATTCAACATTTCAACAAGATGTTTGATAATAAATGAAGTACGAAAGTGTTTACTTCAATATGTTAAACTTTATATTTAACCTGTAACAACAGCCTTATAAGGACTTCCAGGTACGTGCGAAGCCCCGCCGTATTTCACTGATATTAGGTACTCACCGGGAGCAGACGGAAAGTACGTGAATTCGTAACCATTAGAAACTTCAATGCAGTTCAGTTGGACCTTAGATGGGCCATCCACGGTGACCGCCAGTGCACCTGATCCGGCTTTTGTTGTATCCACGACGAACTTGGCTGGCTGACCTACGCATGAAAAACAGGGATGGTAATATATCGAATTTATAATAATTTATGCACAAATTGTTTCTCAATTAACGTATGAATATTACACAAATAGTATCACCAAAATCCCATAAAAATATTATACAATAAACTTGAGCAATATCAAATAGTAATCAATTTCAGTATTTCGGAAAATTTACAAAGTGGGCGGTGCCAGAAGAAGTACGACGCAGAGTTTATAAAAAAATAAATAAGGCATCAAGTAAATCAATATAAAATATTTTTATTAACTGTGCTGAATTGTTTATAAACCAACGACATCCATAAAATGCCTAAATAATAAAATAACAAATAAAAGCCATAAAAGCGTAAAACAATCAAAGTGAGACGCTGCAAACCTGTTTGTCCCTTGGTCAGTCCGTCCCCGTAGACGCGCACCATGGATGGGTCTGCCTCAACATTTCCAACCACCACTTTGAAGGGACTGCCAGCAATCGGAAAGCCATTTTGTCTTACAAATATTTGATGCACCCCATTCTCGTGCGGAACGAAACGAACAGTGCAAGAATCTGATTATGAAGATCCATTGAAAGCCTTTTAAAAACTCCATCCAATTAGTAGTGTGGAAGCAAAAATATTCATTACGCTAAATCTCGCAACAAAATCAAATAAAATTTTAAATAATCTTACGAACTTTTGTCTATCTGTTCAACGATAGCTTGATCTTCAGCTCCAGAAGGAGCAATGATCCTGGCGTCCAAGGAACCCTTGCTGCCGGTCATGTCAACAGTGAAAACTGCAGGTCTGTTCAGCTGTTTTCCAGTTTGCAAGTTTGAAGCATTATATAAGCTTATATATTTATCACTGGATGAATGTGCAAGTAATTATGTCGAATATAAATTAAACAACAACAATGGCCTAACCTGACATCCTTTCTCTTGCAGATCCCCTATATTTAAACGCTTATCACTTCCTGATGGAGCTACATAAACTTTAAACGGGGAGTCAGGAATGTTCTGATCATTGTACTTCATAAAAATCTGGTAATCACCTGCAGTTTCAAAACAAGTTTAATAAATACGGGACGACTAACAAGATAGAACATACAATCCTGTACATAATGATGGTAGTCTGGTGATCAAATTTAAATCAACGTAAAATATTCTCATCTTAAATCCCAACTAAATTATTTATGTTATTGCAAATATATTTATAGATAACATTGAGAAAGCTAATATTTTGTAAAGAAATTTCTGCCACCTGGAGTATCACATGTGTATGAAACGAGACACGAGCCATCAGAAGCATCTTTGAAATCAATGAATGCTTTCGACGGTCCTTCCATGCCGACGGACAAACAGCCTGGACCGGCTTCACGAGTGTGCACATTGAAGTGAGCTGTCCAATGAAAATTTCGTTATGTTAGAACAATTCTTAATTCGATAGATTATATTTAGTCTGTAAACGATTTTACCAGGCACGTCAACTTGCGCCCTCTCCAGTCCTGAACCAATGGCCTTGACTTTATGAGCTCCTCCTTCTTTGATTGGTCCAACAGTGAACTGGAATGGACTTCCTGTTCATCAATTTATAACAAAAAATTTTACATTCGATTGGATCTTGTGATCTGTTAATTTAGAAAGCGTAAACAAGTAACGAATATTGAACTGACCAGGTAAATGCATTCCTTTATGTTTAACACCAACAGTATGTGCTCCAAGCTCCTTTGGAACAAATTTGATGCTGAACTGATCATTACCGACTTCTTCGACATCACATCTTTCCGTCTTACCAGATGGACTTGTTACAGAGGCTTCCAACTCGTATGCCTTTGTAGCTACAGATTTATAACAAAGTATACATAATTTAATACGTGACAGAGATAAAATAACAAACATTGAAAACAAACCTGGAATTTTGAGAGCAAGTTCACATTCGCTGCCGACGTGGGTGACATCACCTGGACCTCTATTTTTGAAAAACTCATCCGATTTAACACCTCCCGGCTGTCCACCAATTTTTACTAAGAATGGACTTCCTGCAAGACGGGATGAAACGAACATTATCAAACGCCGCCGAATTTAAAATTCCACGCTTTATATCTTATATTATTACAAGATGTCAGGCAACAAGAATGTGAATAATAATATTTGTAATTTGAAGGTTTCAAAGACGTAAAATGCATAACATCACAACCACCCAAGCACTATCACAATCGTTACTGCAATGTCATCACCATGACCACAATCATCATCACATCATCATCACATCATCTTCACCATGACGGCAGTCATTACCCCAATATCATCATTATCATCACATCATCATCATCATGATCACATCACAACACCATCATCACATCATCATCATCACCATAACCACAATCATCATCACATCATCGTCTTCATCATTACAATGACCACAATCATCATCACATCATCGTCTTCATCATTACAATGACCACAATCATCATCACATCATCATCACCATGATCACATCACAGCACCATCATCATCACCATGATCACATCACAGCACCAGCATCATATCATCATCATCACCACCACGATCACAAACATCAGCAGCATCACAACGTTTGCTAAGTACCAGGAATATGCTGGTCAGCAAATTTAACGTGGATGACATAGCTTCCAGGCTCCGTTGGTTTGTATTTAACGACGCAAACTCCATCCGACTCTTCCATGCACTCCATGTCCGCCTTGCTTGGTCCTTCCACTGACAAACTCAAGCCACCAAAACCTTCGGAGACATTTCAATCTTAGTCACATTATATTAAAATATTTAGATAAATTAACCTTAATAATTGAACTATAAGAACGTACCAGCGTTTTTAGTTTCAACGAAAAATTCGTTGACTTCATTGGCATTTCCTTCCTGAAGACCCTTTCCGTAAGCCTTCACTCGACTGGCGTTGGCTATCTCAGATTCGTTGACGGTGATCTTGAAGGGCGAGTTGGGAACGTGTTTGCCGTGTTTCAGCACTTCCACGTAATGATCGCCGACCTCCGTCGGTGTGAAGCCGATGCCTGCCAATCAGAGATCAAATCACATCATGCCCTACTACACTTTCCATACTTCTATAAGTAATTACTACTATAGAAAGTTGACTGCTATTCAGATAAGTTGATGAAAATCCAGCAAATGGAGAAATAAGAAACAACATCGATAAATAATAGATGATGAACAAACGAACAAACAATGGAAAACACCAACAATGGGTGATGAGGTGATATATTAATTCAGTTTCGCGGAATGAAGAAAACATGTTATGAGGTAGGTAGGTAAAACATGTTGAGGTAGATAGGTAGGTATGTATGTAGGTATGTGTGTAGGTAGGTAGGTAGGTAGGTAGGTAGGTAGGTAGGTAGGTAGGTAGGTAGGTAGGTAGGTAGGTAGGTAGATAGGTAGGTAGGTAGGTAGGAAAAAAGGTAGGTAGGTACTTACCCAGCTGTCCATCATCTAATCTCTTGATGGTGCATGGTTCAACTTTGCCAGATGGGTATTTGATGGTTGATTTCAAGCTCGACAAATCAGTTTCCATCAGCTTCAACGGAACATCGCTGCTTCCACCAAGAGCTGCATGGGACTTCCTGGCATCTTTCTCTGTACAAAGCATAATAGGATTTATTTAAATTATCAACAGTGAAAATTTGAACTGAAAACTAAAAAAAAATTTAAATTTACATTAGTTAAGAATGCATATGAGGAATTTCGACGAAGCACATGAAATCAGAACGTTGAACAATGAATAACCAGAAAACTCAACGAGTTTTATAATGGAAATTAAAATTCAGACAGAAGCAAAAATTTTGATGAAGGTCAAAACAAACATTAAATTCCAAACATTTGCAACGCACATCATCAATAACAGAATATATATGAGTGACAACAATGCCGACAAACTAAGGAAACATTCATAGATCAGGTAAGCGCCATGAAAACTTCTCAAAAAATAAAAGTTAATGAAGTGGATGTCGTCAGAATAACAACATCATTTGCTGTAGAATTGATTACATCAATGAATGCATTTCAATTGTTAAGACCACCCCATGACCAGAAAATTAAAAACAAATAAACCATCGTCAACAAAAAAAGCGACACCCCAGACAACTTTCATTAAATAGAAAGAGAAACCTCACGAAAAAGCAAAAAAAAACCCCAGCAAACCGGATGGAGATATTTTAGCAGTGAAGGGTGATCCTTGAATGTGCTTGTTGTCAAAACTGACGTTAACTTTGTAGTCGCCAGGTGCAGTAGGCAGGTAGGAGACTGAGCAGGTGCCATCCCCGTTGTCACTGCACTGCATGTCTGCCTTCGAAGGTCCCTCCACTGCCAGCGACAGACCACCTGCATACATTGTAACATCAAATTTTTGTAATCGCCATTGTCGTTATTATTACCATTGTTGTTAGCTTGTTATAAGTAATATTCTATCATTACTTTTTTATTTTTTTATTTTCAAATCACTTTTAATCAGCAACCAAATTTTAATGCTACAAAATACAATAAATTAAAAAAAATCTGCAACCCAATCATTTTGAAAATTATGCCAACCACGTTTATTCACATCTATACATAAACGCGCACACACAAACATACACACACATCACACACACACACCGTTGTTGTTGGTGATGCATTTGTCTAGATGGAACCAGTTGCAGCAGGTTCTGCGACGGGCTTAAAATTGGATCTTGTTGATCCTCTTGTTGCAAGCGGGGCAAATCCAGATTTTTGGGCCTGGATTTAACTCGATTCCAGCTCTTAAAAAGAGAAGGCAGAGCAGACCGGCCGGAAAGGGCTGCTCCGATGACAAAAACCCGATTTGAAAATTGTGGTTGAGAGGGGAAGTTGCAGCGGTTTGTTGGAACGTCTGAAAGGTTTGACTCCAGCAGTCGATCCAATCGACTCCACCATGAAAAAGCCGCTGCACCAGAGCCATGCAGACGGTAAACTCAGTGCTGCCAGTTGCCATTGACTGCGCCTCCTTAAAAACTGCCTCATCCATCCTCCATAGGAACGCCGCCAGAGCCGCCTCAAAGTCGGAGTGCTGCTCAAAGGATGGCCTCCACCAACCTCTAAAATAGATACATCTGAAGAATGTTTGCCCAGGGCAATCAGACGGACCCTTGTCCAGCTCTGCTCTGCAGCTACATATTAAGAATCGACAGTGGGCTCAACAACATCTGCTCTTTCTGCTACCAACAACCAGAAGATGTCCTCCATCCGTCCAGCTGCCTCAAGAACCGCACATATCTCAAAATAATAGATCTGTGAAGGAACCCGGTGGAAGTGGCCAACTGGCTTGGGCCTCGCCTAGACGTCTAGTAATGGGAACAACAACAACAACACTCACACGCACACGTAATACAGTGCTAATAAACCATTGCCATGAATTATCGTCACACCTTCACTTTAAACACTACACCATCATCACATACATCTCTACAAACATCATGTTATCACACACATCGCCACAAAACACCACATCACCACCACCACATTATCATCATCACATCCTCACATACCAGCACCAGCATCTTTAGTGACGATAGTGAAGTTACACATCTCTCCAGAAACTCCGTGTGACAGTCCGGGCCCGTATGCGTACACGAGACCAGAATGCTCGCTGGAAACGTAAAACTCGAATGGGCTGCCATTGATGGGCTTGTCGTTGTAGAGGACAAAGAGTTTGTGGAGGCCCTCTTCCGACGGTGTGTACACGACCCCCACCGTTCCATCGTGGTTGTCCACCACGGTTGGTTTCTCTTTTCTTCCAGATGGAGTTTCAATTTCGGCTGAATAATCAAAATTAAATGACCATTTAAAATTTTATCAGACATTGGTTCAACGCTTCCTTGAATAAAAAATATTTAGACAATAATAAACACATCGACGTGTACAAATAAAAAATTGTTGAAGGAACGAATGAATGAATGAATGAATGAATAAATAAATAAACAAATGAGACTAATGCACCTGTCACAAAGCTGAAAACTGGACCAACAGGCAGGCTGAACTCTACTGGCTTGTATTCATCGTCCGCACCAGTCGGTCCCCTTTTAGATCCCAATGGCCTTGACTTTGACGCACTTAACTCATCTTGCTGTCATGCCATAAAATATAATAATGTTTTTTTTAATAACGTGCAAGAAAACAATAAGCCACCCTCCTACCTATTTAAATAATTCTAATTCTGTAGAGTGTAGACTGTGTAATTACCGTAGAACGTAAGTGAACGAAGAAGTTAGCTCTCACAGAGCAACTTGACCGATAGAATACCTTACAAAAGTGCTCGAAAAAAATGTTGGTAACTACAGTAAGAATAAAAAAAACAGGTAAGGAGTGAAAACAGGTTAATCGTGTTTGTATTTCATTTGAGAAGGAGACACAAGATGCAATCGATACTGTCTACGTCATGAACTCGCAATAATTTGTAAATTCCATGTAAATTCTGCTACTGATGACTTGAGGTGAAGTGAAATCGCAAGCAAAAAGAAGCTGGTAACATGAAAACAGTTCCAAAAAAAGTAAATTTACGACGATAAAATTTGACAAAAAAATTGGAAAAAATTAATAAAAGTCTGGAAAAACACTTGAAAACGTTATTTCATCGCTAATTTGAATAATATCAAATTACTTACAACGTGTGAATATTACATGATCAGTAACAACTCATAAGATGTTTTTCTTTTTAATTTATTCCATTTAAAGCCTGGATCTTCACTGAGTTAATCAACATTATTTTATTTAATTAGTTATTATATTTATTTATTTCTTGTCTATTTATTACAATTCTTTCTTCAATATTTTCCAGAGGAACAACGCATAACACATATAGCACGTGAAAGGTGGGATCTTTTTGAAATCAAATCTGGTCACTGCAATAGTCAAACCAGGCCCTTTACTGTTATACCATCACGCTGCCCATTAACAAATTTAGTACCAAAAATACGAAAAATTATTCACAAGGTATATATTTGGTTTGGTAAATATGTTCTAATACACGGCTCAGTATTCTCTCGCTTCCTCGCTTTTAAAACAAATAACGTATATGAAAACCATGTAGTGTCTTACAAAAGGCACAAATATAAAAGGAAGAAAATACTACAATAGAAACGCATTAAGCAAACCACGCATTGAAAACATCCAACAAATGTGGAAATGATGCACAACACACCAAGTAATTAAAGTACATGCGCGCGCGTGTGTGTATGTAGGTTACTACACAACGTGCACACTTGTTCGCACGTGCACTTTTAAACATACTAGCAAAATTGAATGGAATGCTGCATGCTCTAAAAAATGAATTATCAGACACAAACACGTTCATACAAACAATATAATAAGTAAAATTACCTCTAGTTCTTCCAAATATTTTTTGTAATCTTCTGGCTCAACAGCCTGCAATCGAAAAAATTTAGGTGAATAATTAGTTAATTAATCAATCAATTAATTAATTAATTAAACAATTAATTTAAAAACAAATGAAACTAACGACGAATTCGAATAGAAGTAATAGGAACGGAAAAGTTAATTAAACACAATAATTCGTAAGTAAACACTTCCACATGTAACAAATTAAATGATTAACAAACTCAAAAATAAAAAATATTTAAACTTAAATGACGCAGAAACACTTCAAAGAAGCATATTCTACACGCAAACAACATGAATTTATATCAAGTGTTAGAAGAGCAACATTTAACATGGGATCTTATTATAACTAATTTTTGCCACTTTAATCCTAAATTATTATAAAATTTTTAGCCATAACTTAATTCAAAAGTTTTTAAAAATTATTTTTGAACATTTCAATGCGTTAATATTGTAACAAACATTTAAAATATTTAAAGAAAAAATTAAAACTATGAAACACAAAATTTCTATGTTCACACATTCATATTAATTTGTGTGTATATACGCAAACACACACACAAACACACGCCAACACAACACATACATACGCACATACATACACACAATTACACGTTTATGATAGTAGATATAACATGCCGAAATTAATAAATTTTAAAACCAAATTTTAAAACACAGCGTTAGTTAGTTTCTGTAAACTTCCAGCCATCTTTTATTTTTAACGTGCAAGTGAAGTAGAAAGAAACAAGCTACAAACCAAACACTTGACTTTATCTGAATTATACCTGGCCAAATCGAAAACATTTGTTCAAATTTCTTCTGTTACTTCTTCTGTCTGATTGACGAATACAGTTAGAGTCTTCTACTTTTAAAACGCTTCTTAAAGGAAATGTGTCAGCCATTCCCGAATTTAAAACCTTGTATGTGGCTTTGCAGGGCAAAGCGTTTTTATCGCCGATGAATAGCTTTTGGGGAAATCTCGAAGTCAACGAATAATTATCATAAGGAGGCTGCTGGATATGGATGTGGTGTGACTTGGGTGTGACCATCCAGACAGATTCTTCCGAGTGCACCTGTTTGGAGCCTTCCAATCTGGTCGTTGTCTCTCTGCGCTTGCCATCGTTTGGGCTAGCAGTAACATCATCCTTCATAGAAACAACATCCAATCCCGACCAGGTAATTAATGGTGAACTTTGAACTTTGTTTGAGGTCAATACCAATCTTTTATCATCGCCAATGATAGAGGACAGTCTTTCATCAATTTTTGGTCCTCCGTCATCACCTTTAATACTCAAAAGTGGTTCGCTTGCTTCAATGAAATTAACTTCCTGGGGCTTACGATCCCTACTGGACCACTCGTAATGCTGTACATCATTTTCTTCCCAGGTGCTTTTGTCAACCTTCTTCCATCTCTCCCTGCCATCTGCCGGGTCAAACTCTTTAACTTGAATTGCGTTGGTGTTTAGAGATTGGCATAAAACAACTTTGTTTATTTTGCCGGTCTTTACCGAGTTTGTAAATGACCTGGTTGCCAAATGTCAGTAACAGAAAATTTTCGAGAGATAATACAAATTATTAATACTAACTAACTTAAATTATGCAATCAAATAAAAAAAAACTCACATTGGTCAGTTGAATTGAAAGATGTGAAAATATCCAACAAATCAAAACAACCTATGCATGTTCTAACCAAGTATAACTAGCAATAACGTTATGGTACCTTTATCTCTATGATATGTGACGTCGTTCTATTGTTTGAAATATTCGCGTAAACAAATCACGAAACTCATTTTTCAAAAAATTCGGAAGAAAAAACTAACGATGAGTTTTGTTGCGCGTGATAAGCTGATGAAGAAATACGAAACATTTATACGCTTGTAACTTATACAATCTGTTCAAGGAGGAGATGCAATTACTAAGCATGACAAAATAAAATGCTTACATGCCAAATATATAGGCCTATCTAACATGGAAACATATTTACAATGGCAGATATTTAAAACATATTAACTATATATATATATATATATATATATATATATATATATATATATATATATATATATATATAACCAAATCTATGTCTATTTGTAAATATCCTCAAATGTTAATGTTTTTATAACTACTTATAAATAACCACATTTGTACATATACGTTACATATATTAATCAATCGTTTATATATATATATATATATATATATATATATATAATTTATGATTCAGACTATCAGATATACATTTGTTTAAAAAAATCACATCATTTTCAACGTTGCTCATTAATTAAATATAAAATTAAGCAACGCTGAAAATGGTGTGACTTTTCTAAACTGTATATACGGTATATATATAAATATAAGTACATATTTATTAGAATCTTCATGGTACCTGACTGGTATGGAGTGTGTTCTTACATGCAATTAAAGCAAACTCATTACTATCACAAATTAGAAATGTTCATACATAATGAGATTAAATTTTAGCATTTTGCTACTAATTATGTTTTAAAAGAAACATGAAATTTTTACAATTAAAAAAATGTGCATATTTTATACAAGACCTTCCGTATGTCTTCAGATCTTTGCCTGTACTACTGCAAATTAAAACGTGCATATATGATGGATGGTTAAAGTATGTTTATAAATATGCACATTACATTCGTACGTACACGAACGAATGCACGAAGATAACTTGCATGGCGTACATTAAGAAGTACTTTGCACAAAATATTTACATCTGCTCTGCTTCCATGCATGCTCAACAGGCATTCAAGTGCAAAACAAAGCATTACTAAATGATGGTGAAACTCAAGGTATTTGCATTGTATTTGTAACACGTGCACGCTTACACACATATACAAACATACAAACACGCACACATATATAACGAGGTTAGACTTATATTAATTCTAACATTTTTATTTAAACTAACGGTTGAAAACTCAATCTCCGTGAAGAAGCTCAATTAATCAAAATGTTAAATCCTGTCCCACTATTCAGTGACCTGGTTCAACTGCAAAAGGAATCTCAATTATTTTATGTGCTCAAGTACATCGGCATTTTCTTATGTACGCACACGCTCACATGTACGTTGTGCATTTTCAACAATTTGAGACGCGCCATCGAACGCTAAAGAGATGATGACTGATCTGACATATTGCAAGAATTATTGAATTAATATTTACAGTTGATGAAGGGCAGGCAAACTATTTAAATAACTGGCTCATTTCACACTTTATGGGGAAAAAATCTGAATCTATACTGGCATGAATACAGTGAGATGCATTGAACAAATATTTTAAACGGACGAAAAATGAATACAGTGAGATGCATTGAACAAACATTTCAGACGCTCGTTACAGAGAGAAAGAATGTGTGACCTTGAGATGGGAAATGATAGATAACCTTCACCTAATGGCGATGCACAGCAGTAGCTGCACGCACTAACATTCTATTGTACCAATCAATTAAAAATTAATAGGTGAAAATTAAACGAGCGAACAAAAACATCTCCTTTTGACCATTGTTTGACCTGGATATAAATACTGTACCAATATAAAAATTTTCCAGAAAACTTCATGAAACTGTAAGAAGTAAACTTCAAAAAATAAAAATAACTTAAAAAGGTGCAATCAGCACTTTATTCAATTTCTTTTAGCGTAAATATCCTTTAGCATAAAAACTTATTTGTACATAAATTATGCTATTGAAACTGAACCGACGCATTCAAGAAACAAACTATAAAGTCTTTTGTAGGTGGTCATTCCACTGGCGTACCGAGGGGGGGCGAGGGGGGCGGATCGCCCCGGGCCTCCGATTTGGAGGGGGCCTCCAAAAAGCCAATTACGAAAATTTTTAAATAATTTATTTATTTAGTAAGTGTATAGACGTGATTTTGTGTTTTGATTTTTTAATATATTTATTTATAAATAATCTGTAGTAATGCATATACTTAGTTAGAATAAACGCTTTTTTAAAATCCTGACCGAATTGGTAATCCACGTCTATTTTTAGTCGGACATTGACATCATTATACTTGAATGTGATTGGTTGATATAGTTTTTGGACGAGTCGGCTTTTTCAAACTTTTTTTGTTGTCTGTTCCGTTTGGTTTATTAGAGTGAGTTTTAAATTTTATTTATATATTTATCAATCTCTTCTTTAATAAGTTTAAATATAACTACTATCTTTCAGGTAAGAAAAACAGAAAATATACTTTCACCCACCGGTACTGACTCACTAGTTTAAATCTAAGGTACAAAAAGTGTTGATAGGTAAAGACAGATATCTGTTCTCCTCGGTTTACGTGACTGATGTTACACCATTTTTTTCACTTTTAATTTTTTAAATTATATTTTAAGCCCTGAAGTTAAAATAAATTATTAGAATTAAACGAAAAATTTTGAAAAGTAGAAGGGAAGAAACCGAAGCTCTGTCTGGATCAATGCTTAAATTTGTTAACCAAGTTGCCAAACCAGAATCCATTATTGCTAGTTCATCAAGTCAGCAGACTGATTTAGATACAACCGTAGAATGTGACCAAGAAAAAACAGCCACCGAAACTGAAACGTCAAACCAACAATGCCCGGATGAAATCAATTTTTCTAGTGAAAACGATATTTTTTTAAATTGTGATGTGGGAAATTGGACAATTTCGTTATCAGATAACATCAGAATCAGTATAGTAAAACTAAAAAGTGAATATTTCCAGAACAAAAATGGTCCATTTAGAGTGGTTCAAAGAGTAGGGAAGCAAACAAAGGGTCAAACTCGACAGTTGACAAAGCATTGGTTCTACAAGCATCTTCCAAATGGTGAAAAAGTTTTCAGAAAGTGGATGGTTTATTCTCCTTCCAAAAAATGTTTATTTTGCTTTTGTTGTCGACTTTTTGCTGCTTGTGATAAAGAAAGTAATAATTTTTCAAAATTTGTTACAGGGTTTAATAATTGGTGGAAACTAAACCCTAAGATTTCACATCACAAAAATTCTGAAATTTACTTAAACAATCATGAAAAATGGAAAACATTAGAACTAAGTTTGAATTTTAATAAAACCATTGATGCCGTTCATCAAGAAAATCGAGAACTGGAAACTAAAAAATGGAATGACATTTTACACCGCTTATTGGATGTCACCATGTTTCTAGCAAAACAAAATTTACCTTTTCGAGGCCACAGAGAAGATGACTTTTCTAACAACAAAGGCAATTTCTTAGAGTTAGTTGAATTAATTTCACACTACGACCCTGTCTTAAAAAAAACATTTAGTGAGGGTTCAACATAACAAGGCAGGAAACACGATTTCATATCTTTTCCCTAAAATTCAGAATGAATTTATTTCTATATTGGGAGAGGTAACCAGAAAAAAAGCATTCAGGAAAAAATGTCTTCAGAAAAAATATCTTCAGTAAAAATATCTTCATTCAAAAAGGTCTTCCAGAAAAAATGCCTTCAAGAAAAAAAGTCTTCAAGAAAAAAAGTCTTCCAGAAAAAACGTTTTCAGGAAAAAAAGTCTTCCAGAAAAAAATCCAACGATACTATTTTATTTTTAAAATATTCATACATACAAAAAGAAATTACATTTTTACATAAAAAATTTGTTACAATAAAAATTAATAAAAATCATAATAACTTTATTATGTTCTTTGTGTATTAATATTATCTGAGAGGTTTATTGGAATGGATTATAGGGTTGTTAAAGTGTTACAGCATGTGCCAAAAACGGTTCTAGGACAATTACCCCCCGGACAAATACCCCCCACGCAAAAAACCCCCGGACAAATACCCCCCCCCCACGCAAATAACCGCCCGGACAAATACCCCCCAGAACAAAATACCCCCAGGACAATTACTCCCCGGACAATTTTTGTTTTCAAATTATGATTTATATTATTAATATTAACAGACAATACGAGACGAGATAGAATGCAATTACTTATTAATTTATAATTATTGTAATGATCATCAGATACACTTTTAAATAAAGACAGCCAAAAAACACAAATCGTTGATGATAAAGAATTAAACATTATGCAAAAGACCATAAACTTATAATTAAGTAAATTGGTTCTCAAGCTTTCTAGCGCAAATTGGCATGTAAATTTAGAACAATCAATGATGATTGATGATGAGAAAGCAATTCGCATGCATTTAATCAATAGTGTAATTTAAATTTAAAAAAAAAATAGAATTTTATTTCAAGGTTTCTTTGTGTATTAATATCATATAAAAAGTTTATTGGCATGGACTTTAAAGTTGTAAAAATTTTAATCGTTATTTTATTCTGTTACTATGGAAATTATTGAAAATAATAAAGGAGGTCAGAAGTTGTGTTTGGAAGGGTATATGTATACAAAAAAATTGAGTAGAGGAGCAACGATTCGTTGGCAATGCTCTAGAAAAACATTTTTCAACTGTTTAGAAGCAATTTCAACAAACATTGAGGTA